AGAGCCAAATTACACCCCATTCTTCTGATAGATAACACAGAGGCGATACAATCCACACATTTCTCATAATGCTTATCTTGATGGAGAGTTCTGCTTGCCGTTGGTATTATAGCAACAAGTATTTCATCATTAGAGAAATGGCAGTGTGTTTATTGGTGTGCTGATGATTGATGTTTGTTCCTGCAGTCGGGTCACTCCTCTGGTGATAGATTATGTTAATGGCTGATTTAACTATGATCACACGGTTTGTTTCTCCTGCAGTTATGAACTAATAATGCAGCATGATTAAGCCAAGACTCTCTTACACACACACATACATGCACAAGAGCTACTATAGGACCTTTTCTCTTTAATGAAATGACTTTACATTCTGATTTATGAGCTGTTTTATGAGCTCATTTTACCGCAGTATTATGGTGTAAAAACACAACCGCTATGTGTGTTTTTATCTTCAGATAAGAAAGGTTCTTTTCTCCTACAGAGAATGTAAGATGAGAAAAGGTTATTGGAGTATATCCAACGATTTGATGGGAGTTAATGTCCCCTGCAGAGCACAGAGACACTGTTAAGAAAGAGTACAAAAAGGCAAAAGTACAAGACTGTTTCTTAAACTTTGGGTGGGAAAAAAAGTAGCAGGGGGGAACTTTTAATGACGGTGTGATTAAACCTTATTTGGGTACTGCCTGGATTTAGCTAGTGAGCCTGTTTCAAAAGAAAAGTAAAAAGCAGGTAGGGGTTAGGGATGAGCTTGTGGAGGATGTCACCAGACTTCTTTTGTTTTCTGCTCTGACTCTAGAAATTCCATCACTTGTTGAATGCTCAAACTAAACTCTTCAAAATAAATTACTTGTAGTTTCTTTTGAGTACTTGCAGGTATTTGCCCTCAAGTCAGTAACAATAGATCAGCAAATTCACATTTGTGATAACTAATTAGCAACTTTTAATCAGACTTCACATTTTAAAACAACAACACAAATGTTAATTAAGTAAAAGTACGTTTTTTTTTCTATAGGCATTGAAATAAATAATTTTAATCACTTTCATATTAACATACATTACAAAACCAGTTAATTAAAGATGTATTCTGCATTATTGCATACGGGTGGGCAATATGGCCCTATCATGATATTTCTGTGTATTTTTGCGATAACGATATTCTTGAGGATATTACAAAATACTGAAAAATAAATAGAAAATGTGAATTTTTGTTTTATTAATGTCATCAGCATAAATCGGAGGCACAGTGCTCAGGTCTGAGGTGGTAAAAATAGGTTTGATGTGTTGCCCCCCCCCCCCCTTTGTTGTGACGGTCTTCAGCACTCTTTATTATATTACCGTCGTTTGTTGTACATCTGATCTGATGTAATCAAACCAATTCCACAGGACTGAAGTCACTCCTTTTTCAAACTAATTCATCCACTCTGGTACTTTCACTCTCGGCCATGCTTGTTGTTGCCGTGCGCTGCGTGATGATGTGACGTCAAGAAGTAGGGACGTTAAAAATATCACGATATTCTTTTTTTTTTAATCATATACAAAATATAAACGGTGTTATCATGTGTCGGGATATTGCACACCTCTATTTATTAATTAATCTCGATTTTTTGCATTTATTTTCCTGCTCCCTCTTGTTGTTATTGTTGAAATCACACCCTCATTTTAATACATTCACATTTCCTGTCTGCTTATTTCAGTAGTTCAGCTGTAGCAGATGTCTAAGTGTTTCCTACTGACCCTGTTTGAATATGAAGTGGTGACGTATATGGATTAATCAAACCTACTGTACATAAGTTCTTTAAAATCCTTGAAATTCTGAGTACAGAAAACAATGTTGTTGTTGTTGTTGATGATGTTGTCAACAGTCTGCCTGAATAGCCTTCACAAACTGCTACCAGCACTTCACTTTCCCTCAAATATTGGAATTGCAAATGAAAGTGAGCTGTTACAGAAAAAAGAAAAAAAAAATCTTCTTCTAAGAAGGTTTTGATGTTTGAATTGAAGAGCTGACTGAAGAGAATAAAAGAGTCGTTTTTTTTCCCCTCCTTTTTATTACCGTGCAGTTGCACTTTGCGGCGAGGGCTTTCCAGAAGTGTGTTTTGATATACATGAGTAAACACACATTTCCCATGCTAATTCTGCGCACCGCAGTTCATCTCTCACCCGCCGAGTGGAAGGCATAGTAAACGGTTGACCCGGTAACTCCAGATGCCAGACAGGGCCCCCGTCCCCTGATTGGACTCCACGGTGCTTCAATCAGCTTAATTGGCCGAGACTATGGTATCAGTGAGAGAAATGAAATGAAAGAGGAACACTGGAATTGGAATAAAATTGAACGCTAGAATGCGCCAGCCTCATTATTTGTTGATTGACACGTCTGCATGGAAGGGCTGGGAAATAAAAGGAAAACAAAGGGAAACAAAACAAGTTTAATGGGGCTCTGACTTTGTCTACATTTTAGGAGATTGTTGAGATTCTTTTTTTTGAAGCTCTAACTGTTAGCACTAGCTACATCTCATGCAGTATGCATATCATTAAAGCTAGATTAGTTTTGTGGATACTTCCTGGGTTTATGAACTCCGCAGGCAGGTGAACGAGCCGTGTTTAATTTCAGCAGAAAGAAAACAGGCTGTAAAATTGCAAATGAAATTTCATCTTTATTCATACGATGTGTCAGCAAAAGTGCATTCATGCATTTTCATGAGTGTTTTTTATGAATGCATTAGCTCTTAGTGTATTTGTCGGTGGAATCCTGCAGTCTTAAGCAAAGCTTTCTAAACAATGCTACCGTTGTTTCAAAGAATGGAGCTTTCTTTTCTTGCCTGTTTGCAGAGGCCAAGGCTTACAATGTTTTTAAGATGTTTTTGCTTTTTCAGTCTTTTTATTTCTCCATCCCGTTTTGCGAAGGTGATACAAAAGGAACTCCTGTTTAATGTAGACGTACTTGTGCTTTTGTTCTGTTTTAGGGAATAGCATTCTTTGAAATAGAAACCACAGAGATATTTCCCCGTATGTTTAATTGTATAAAAGTATTGCTTACAGCAGCTGTGATATCAACAAACATCTTTCTCTCTCTCTGGGGAGCTGTGTAATCTCTATTGATCTCAGATCATCGATTTTTCAACCTCCAGTAAAAGTTTTTCAGGGAAACAACTTTCAATGCGTGGTGATATCTTTGACCGCAGCTAGAAAACAAAGACTTTTGGTTTGAGGGATGATTTTGTGCGTTCTTCAACTCCTCTGGGTCAAAGTTAGCTGATTTAAACTCGTCTTGTCACACTGCCTTCCCTCCTCCCCGCTGCCAGCAGTCCTGTCATGCTCTGTGCAATCGATTCACCGCCCTTCACAGAAAATGAAAAGGAGGCATCAGTCACGCCCAGCTCCAAGACGGTCAAACCCACGTACCTGTGACTTTTCTTTCATCTTTCTATGCCAAGATATCACAACACAAGCCACAATATCTAAAGTAAAATTATCTGTTTTTTCATCGGATGTGAATTGTACTGGCTGATGTATTCAATCATAAGAGAAGAAGAAATGATGGCTGTGATCGTGACCGGTGGCTCTGTATTGATTTTTGGTGTTTGTGCCTTTTATATCAGAGACAGTGTTTCATTTTAAATGAATGCTTCCTGTCTGTGTTCATGATTTACTGTAATGAAGTCACAGCCCTCCCTTACTGAATAGGTCACTAACCATAGACTTTATCAGGGAGATGAAAGCAGTCACCATGATGTCAGTAAAGGTCACCTGACTTCTGTTTTAAAAGCTCAAGTGATGGCGCTGCTTTAGCTCAGTAAAGGGAGCAGGCACCCCATGTATGGAGGCTACAGTCCTCTACCCGATGGTCTCAGCCGGGATCATTTGCATCCTGTGCTCTCTAACCCCACATTTCCTCTCTTCAGCTTTCACTAACAATTTCTTTTGTCTTTTTGGAGCCATACGTGACCCTATTAAATAGCAAAAACTGATTACCAGCTTCACTGCTCACTATTGTAAACAAGGTGCAACGGTTTTAAAAAAAACACATTTATATTAATTGGATATTAATTTTGGCTACTAAAAGATAGTCTTCAACTAAATGTACTTATTGAACTTCCAACTCCTAAGAAAATCTCAGAGTATAACTGATGCTGAACAAAACAGTTTCAGTTTAGCCATTATCCTAAATCATACTGGGCTTTACCGTCTGTTTTACTCTTAATGAGACCATCCTTTACTAAATGAACATCATGCTGTGTGGAAGAAGACATTAAACTAGGGATTGATACGGTGAACTCATAAAGATGATGTTTACTGAGGGAATAAACCAACACTAAACTGTGAATTAGTGTCTTTTTCACAATAAGTTCACTTCATTTGTCTGTCTACTCGCCGTTATATTGAATATTTTTCTACTGATAATATGTCTACACTCCACACTCCATATGTCTACATGTCAATACTGTTCATTTACAACTTTGTTTTTGCACATTTACATTTAATCGTTCATATTTAAGACTAGTAATGCTAAGTTAAATCCTGGTTGTATATATTCCCATTCTTAGTTTTGAAATTTTAGTGCTTATTTACTTTGTATTTAATATTATATTATGTTTAGATTTGCTCATATTGTGTGTTGGATAACCTGCTGCTGTAACACCACAATTTCCCAGTTTGGGATCAATAAAGTAATTCTATTCTATTCTGTATAACTTCTCAACAGTCTGAATTACTTTATACTGCAACTAGGTGAAGCCTATACAGGCAATTGAATTCATTTTGTTGACTTGAGGATGTGTCTTATGTACAGTCTTTGTCTCTTACACACATACTGTATATACAGCCATCAGTCCCGTGATGTGTTTGAACAGAAAGTTGTTTCTTAAGGCAGAGAAAACTGAGATTGGTATTCATGTACTCACAATCCAATGTGTCTTTACTTTATTGTTTGTAGCAGAGATGTCATAATGACATATTAACTTCTGAAACAAAGTGATTTATTTATTCCTTTATATTTGCAGCTCTTCCTGTTCCAGTTGCTGAGAGGCCTGTCATACATCCACCAGAGGTACATCCTTCACCGCGATCTGAAACCGCAAAACCTGCTCATCAGTGACACCGGAGAGCTCAAACTCGCTGACTTTGGTGAGTAGACGCGACGCTGACGCTCCTTTTTTTAGTAACTTTGAGACGTGAGTTTGTGTGTGAAAACTGGTATTTATGCAAGCCTCCATCGCAGAAATGGTCCATTTCTGCAAAACGAAATATACATAGTTGTGTGTTTTGTTCAGGGTGAAGAGGGGCAGACAGTGAGAAGAGAAATAGTTGAACTGGCGGCTCAACATAAAATGTGTGTATGTTATTTTAATGCAACATAAACTGTATGGACTTTAACAATATTGCCTTATATACTGCTTGAAAATATATCGATATATCTTAAAAAGTCAATACATCGCCCAGCCCTAATCTATTGTGAGCAAAGTGTAGTAAAAGTGTGGCTGTGTGAGTGTGTGTGTGTGTGTGTGTGTGTGTGTGTGTGTGTTCAAAACCCCTCCTGAAGTGGCACCATATGGCTTGGATCCATGCTCTGTAAACACTGCCTACATGGTCTGTCTGGCATCTCTCAGGGGGGTGCCCACAAACTGACAATCCAGCCTTCTGTACAACCCATCCTTCCATCCCTTCATCCATCCATCCTTCTATCAAACCAGTTACTTTAGTCTCACACCCTCTCTCTCTCTCTCTCTCTCTCTCTCTCTCTCTCTCCCAACCCATTCCCTGGATCTTTCCAGCCTTTCTCCCTCTTGACCATCTATCTTTTTAGTCCCTCCATCCCTCTGCCCAGACAGATGGGGGTAGGCGCAATGTGGCAGCTTTATCAATAATGCAAACCTCGTAATAGTGCAGACAAATTACTGCAAGGGAAATGAAGAGAAGGGGGAAAATAATGGACAAAAATACCAAATGAGCAGGAATGAAAAATCCCTGGCCTATTAGTCTGTCACTGGAGCTGAATGCTCATCGACAAACATGCACACACAAAAAAAAAAAAAACACAGAATCAGTCTTTGCCTGAGGGATGCCAGATGAGGAAGGTGAAGGCTGTTTCGAGGGTGTGTTTGTGTGTGTGTGTGTGTGATTGTGTGACCGCCAGGGCTCCCTGTAGTCCCGGGCGTTGGCAGCAGGAATACTAACGGCCGACAGCTGAGGCCTGTGGTGCTGGGTGGGGTATTAAGAGGGAGACGGAGAAGGCGGAGTGTCAACAAGGAAGGGGCTGAGAGGTACGATGAGTGCAGCCAGAACACTGAGAGGGCATGAAGCTGTCTGCTGATAGGATGGAGGACATGAGAAGGAAAAGATAAGAGGCGGCTTTAATGGAAAAAAAAAAACATGTTGCAGTTAATAAATAAAATGTTTTCTCATAGAACAAATTTAACACAGCTTGTGGAATTTGGGATCAACCAATTTGACCGTCCACTTTCTGTTGCAGACAAATGACAGTCTCTGCTGTGACTGTCCACTTGAGGCTGGCCTTGCTTTAAAATGTTGTTTATTGGTGAAGCCTGCATCCATCCTAGACGAAAGCAACGCCGACTTAATGTGGAAGACGGATCTCTCTTGTCTGTTCTCCTGCTGCTGGTTGTGGAGTCAGTCCACAGGCTCCCCTTTGCTCCTCTGTGGGTTTTACTCCCTTTTTTAATGAGCCGCACAAACAACCAACACACAAATGAGTCTTTGATTATCACATGTTTCATATCAAGGACACAGCTAATTGGGGCCAACTTAAGCAGTGTGTGGGGGGTGATTATTGATGTTTGTGTGGTAGAGCTGTAATCACTGAATCCCTGTGTGAACACATTCAACACCTACAAGTAGTAAACCATCCATAGAGTCTACCAGGCCTTCTAAGGTCAAGCTGTTCTAGCAAATTGAAAAAAAAAGAACAAGTCCTCCAACCCAAACATTTGTTCCTTCCCTCTCATGTGACTCACAGCAGCGTTTCCTTAATTATCGGCCGTACAGATGCCGAGCCACACGTCCTTAAAGCTTATTGTTTAAACGAAGAACACATCGTTCACACATGGTTCACATGGCAAACAATAGCAGTTTGATTATGTTATCGTGTTACAATACATGTAATGTGTGATTTTACAGTAAGACTTAAAGCCTACACTGACTCTTTCGTGTCATAGCAGTCTCAAACAAAAACGGTGAAACCCGTGTGTTTGACCCTCCATTACTCCTGCCACTCAAATTAGCTTGCTGTAATTTTTCAGTATATTTTCTAGAGATGCACGGATCCACTTTTTTTCACTTCCGATCAGATCCCGATACATACATACCATACTGTTGCTGATTCCGATAACTTTATTTATGATAATAAATAGTTTTATTGTTGTTTGGTGCATTGTGTTAACTTCGCATACAAACAGTTAGCAGCAACAACTGACAGGTTGTCAAATTAAATCTTTTAAACTGAAGTGTAAGAATTGTACTTTATAATCACTGCTCCATCTCGTCTGAGCGTCGTCATGGAGACGATTTGTGGGCACTTTCAGTTCTGTCTGAATGTCTTCAGAGTGAGACTGCGCGAGCTGAGAATGTTTAAAGTGCCCAATGATGTTTCTTGATCTGTCACATGGATCAGCGCCATCAGTCCGATATCCGATACGTAAATGACATCAATATCGGACCTCATACCGTTATTAGATCGGATTGGTCACATCTCTAATATTTCCTGCTGCCTTTACTCATCAGCTCACCTGACCTCACACAGACATTTTCATTAGGGGGCTGGCAGGAAAACCTCTGGGTGAGGTCAGGATGAAAAATTAGGCTGTTTTAGTTCACAGAATAATATTTACCTGAAAATGTCAGGAAGGAGTTTTGTGCATGTGTGAAAACAACAATACATTTATTTTAATTTACTCCAAATGAACAGCAAGCATGTTTAGGAACACAGCACACTGTTGTTCTTTTCTCAGTCAGCTGACTTTTTAAATTTCATCGTTTAAATATCCCATTTAAAATCCTTAAACTTTTCAGAACCGTGCTGGTTTATCACAGTTCTTTGTTTTCAGCCAACCAATCACATGCAGTCGGTCCCGTCACCCTGATAGTCAAGAAACTGAACATTTCCACCTCTTTTAAAATAAAGGGAGCCACAAAGATATACTGGATTTTTTATTTGTTTTATCATAAAGAGAGAGAGAGAGTGAATTAAATCAGTCTTTCAGGGCTACCATACCTTATTATAGAAGCGGATGAAACAGCAGATGAGCATCTCTCAAAGCCCAAATACTTCTGAGGCCCATGAGAGAGGAAATGTGTCCGTAGTTTGGATGAACGTGCTGAAAGGCTGCTTGTGTTTGCACTCAAACACTGAAGCGTTGCCATATGCTGTCAGTGTCCATCGCCAACCTGGAGCGCAGGCTGCGGTCAGGGGCCTGAAACCTTATCTGAGCTCTATTCACAAACAGCATGACCCCCCCCCCCCCCGATAAAGCCGTATCTGTTTGTGTGTGTGTGGCTGTTTTGGGCTCAATCCTTGTGCCAACATGTCCCAGACAGTTTGTAAAAAGAGGACATGTTCCTGGCTCATTGAAGAGTTGGGGACTTCTGCAGCAGTAGCAGAGCTCCAGGTCGTCTTCAGGGGCATTTGGAGCCAGTTGTACTCACTCACAGATCAAATGGACTTAGCAACACGGCTCAAGGGATAGCAATGAGGTCTATTATTGCTCAGGCCAGACGGAACAAATGTATTAACCGTGAGAGAGATTGTGATAAATATTGTGCAGACTTGCTCAATGCAAGATTGTTGAAGCTTCATTCTGCATTGATGTTCCGTATGAAAGTTAGAAACACAAAATAGAGGGACGATATTGTTCCATTTATAGCCTGGCAGCAGAGCAAACCAAATTTCCCCTGTGGATAAATCAAGTATTTGTGATCGTGATTCTGATTCTGAATGGGAAAGCCAAAGTGGTGTCTGCAAATAAACTACCAACCAAGGACAAGATCAACTGCCATATAACAAATACAGGACCATTCTTTTGCTTTGGAAAGCAACATCACAGCCTTGAACATACATTTTATGTCGCCCAAGAGGAGACGCCGTAATGCCAAATGTCAGGCCCAACAAGCCTGTACTCCTTTAGAACACGTGCATGCTATAAAAGTCATTCACTGGAGCAGCAATGTTTGGTTCAGCTCTTATTTACAGTACCTTAGTGACTTCAGTGATCTGCTGATTTCCCCCTGTAGCGCCATGAGGTTAATCTATTGAGATGTCTTGGCAGTTATTGGATTGATGGCCAAGTAATGGGAAAAATGAAATCCTCTGCAGGCATAAAGCAAACAGGAATTCAGATTTAACATCAAAATCAGAACACAAGCTTTCTTGTTCAGTGTAACACACAGGCTGTGTTTATAAATGCTCTCATTGCACAGAGGTGTCAGGGCTTCTTTCATTAATAATACAAACTATATTTTATCCGAGCTATATTAAATATCGTTGACAAACCCTTGTTATAATTCTTCAAAGCCCAAGCTAATGTATTAACTAATGATGTTCTCCTATTTCTGTATGAAGTTAGCAATTTAAATTCAATTAATCCACCGCAACAATTAATGAATTCATGATTTATTACCATTAATTGTTTCCAATCTGTGTGCCTGGAAGAATAAAAATGATCCTACTAGCATCACAGAGGTGATCACACACAAGTCGGGGGGGGGGTTCTTCCCCCTCGAAATTAAAGTTTTTGCAGCAAACAACTTGAACCTGTTCAACTTATCCGTGCACGAGCACAGACACAAACACCAGGAGTACGCCTCGCTTTTTGAAAAGTTTCACTCGATATTCCCTTATTTATAGGAGTTCAGCATCAGCGGCAAGCAGCTGTATATTAACATTATTAAACCAAATCCACGACAAGCTTCACTTTTGATATGAGCACGGCACCTCAATCTGTGCATTTACGAGAGGGATGTACGGACAGTTGACCTTCTCTCTCTCTCTCTCTCTCTCTCTCTCTCTCTGCTGATGTGATTCTGCTGTCTTGGTTTTCTGCATCTCATCCCTCCGCAGTAGTCGAGAGGGAATTTATTTCAAAATGGGAGTTTTGTCGTGTTGCACGGAGTCG